TTCCCGCTCCTGGGGCTGAGACTTCTTCAGCCCCGTCGGCTTCCTCTTGCTGCCAGCAGAGAAGGAGCAGCAGCCTCGATTTTTCCCTCGTGTCCTGCAGTGCAGCAGCCTCCCACGTTGCTGCCCGTGACCTGTCCAGACCTGTCTGTGCGTAGCACTGAGCCCTGTGAACCTGAGAGGAAGTTAACATTTCTGTCTGTGTTCTCTCTTGCCGTTGACTTGTCCAAAGCCCAGAAAAGAGACAGGAGTCAACTCTGAGCTTCTACCAAGAGTGACTGATGAGGATTGCCTTTGTCCTACCCGCAGTGTCCAGCGTGGGATAGACAAGATATAGATAAGATACCAGCTAAAGGGGCTAAAACTGTAACGAACACATGCTGAAAAGACAGGACGTGTGGCTCAGTGTTCCCTTGGGTGGGTGTTCCCCACCATCCCTCTCCATGAGGTCCTGCTTTCAGTGGAAAGGTCTCTTACACTCTGGGTATGGAAATAAGATGTTTTTAAGCACTGTCTGTAGGAGAACTCACACAGTATCCTGATGAGGTGAGCTCTGCATAAACTTCCATCATTTATGGCCACACACTTTCCATAATGGCCACACACTTGGGCCATGTTACAGGTTGGCACAGTGGCTTGCCCAGGTTGGTTGTGCTACACAGAAAGTGAGTGTCAGTCCCAAGCTGGTGTCTTCTTATTCCTGAGATTGCAAAACCTGGCAGCTGAGGAATAAACATAATTGGTTTGGAAGCGGAGCCTCTGTGCCTGAAGTTCTTCTACCATGGAAGCAGGAAGAAAAGCAATTTCCGGGCAGGCACACCTGGGGCAACTTGCACATCCTCCGTAAAATAAAACCTCAAGCACACCAACAAATAAAATGAACAAAGGGTTTATTGTAGTTTGTATATTCAGCTATGGGAGACCCTGGCAAGGAACAGGCCTGACCCATCTATCACACTCCAGAAATCTGCTTAGAACAGAGTAGCTTGATTTTCGTGCCCAATGCCAAACTGACATGATTAATAATCCGTTCTCAACAATTACATTCCTTGCACCTATTTTCTAGTACCTTTCCCCCTGCAACATGCACCATTCTTCAAGGCATGGATGAATTTGCCAGCTCTGCGTATTTTCTACCGATAACACGCTGGGCCAGGTTCTTTCACCATTGTAGCTGTAAAAGCATTGTGATCAGGGAATAACAACTGATTAAAACATGCTGAGTTGCGTCTTCTCACGGGAGAATAGGTGGGCAGAACTGTGAAAATGGCTGTGGTGGCTAGAGATATGTGAACTGCCCAGAACAAGGCAGAAATTCAGTCAGAAATTAGGAATCCTAAGGCAGGGGTGAAATACAACACACTACAAGACAACATTAAAAAAAATGCAAGGAAGGGAGTAAGAGAAGGTGAATGGAAAGATTCCTCCTTTGGTTGTTGAAGGATTTGGTTGCATTTATGGTTTGCCTGTCAAATTTTCCAATGCTATAAAAATGGAGAGTCCTTTATACAAATGTTTAGTATACACCAGTGTAGGAAGTGCATAACCTGAATTCATGAAGGAAAAAAAACACACTATAAGAAGTGCTGGGGTGATACAAATGTCAGAGGTTTTATTTCTCCAATGTGCTCATTCTGCAAAAGCAAATACACGAGAGATCTTTGCTGTAGATTATATAACTCAACAGAAGAACAGAGATAATGTTAATGAGCCCCTTCTCCCCTCACCAGGGCAAATGCCAAGTTCACCTTAGAAAAAAAGGTCATATTCTGAAAAAATGTCTATCTCGCCACGATCAGGAGCTGCGACTTTGTGATTAATGTCAGGCTCCGTGTCTGGGCAGCCAGCAGGGTCTGTCTTTGCAGGACGAGTACGTGGTGTCTCTGTAATGCCCACGTGGAGAGAGGAGACAGAGCCCGGCTGATAATACAGTGTGGAGAGGTCACTGTGTGTTACAGAGGGGTGAGGAAACTTCCCATTCTTCCACCTTAGTAACGTGGACCTTTTCTTCCTCTAGAGTAAGACATGTGTTCCACTCGCATGTGGTCCAACACACACGTGGTCATTAAAACATCAGTGATCATCAGGTTTTTGGTGAGGCTCTCCCCGTTGCCGAGCTCGGTTGCAGGACCTCTGGGCCCCCCTTGGAGAACAGCAGGATGTGGTTGTCTCAAGGCCCGGGTGCAAGGTGTCCGCGTGCTCTTGGCACAACCTCCTCCTCAGAGAAACACCTCCCTCTCCATGGGGTCTCCCCGCAGGCCTGCCAGCAGGTTGTTGGCAGCTAGCACAGCCATGGCGTTCCTCGTGCTCCACGTGGCGCTCGCGATGTGCGGCAGAATCACTGGAACACAAAAGGAGCCAGGGGAGCTGCCTCCTCCTTGCTGGCCCCTGCCTGAGCCCAAAGGCTCCGCTGCACCTGTACAACCCCGGATTTGCCCAAGCCCCAGTGCTGGCCTCAGGGAGAAGCACGTTCTTAGTCTTTAGAGAAGATGGACCAAGAGCCCTTGAGAACAGAGGGCCTGTGAGGTTCCCTGTGGGTTTCTGGGTTGCCTAACCTGGAGTAAATCTGTTTGGTAACCCCACAGGGGAGCAGCAGCAGCCTGGCAGGGATGTTGGCAGTGAAATTGTATGAACAGGAGAGAGTTGGCAGTTGAGATCTTCCCATGAACCTTTGACAGATTAAGCTAAACTTGGTGCAGAACCTAGATCCCAAGGAATGAGAGAGGACTGGTGAATGGCAGACCTACCATCTCTGTTTAAACCTTATGGATACCTCATTCAAGTCACACCTGCTATAGGTCTGCTTTCCTGCTCTGTGCCTGGGAGCTGACAGGGGGTTGAATCAAAAACCCGCAGGGCTTTTAG